TTGGGCGAGAATAGAGTAACAGCTCTGGGCGACTGTATGACACTCCATTCGCTCAGATTCTGGGCGATTTGCAAACTTGGGCGATGGCGTCACCGCGTTCTTGGGCCTCCTTATTTGGGCCTTCATCTTGATTTGTTAGATTGGACTTCGTTCTTTGGGCTATCTGACTTGGGGTCCTCCAATTGGGCTTTACTCCTTGGGCTGTTCGATTTGGGGTGAATTTTTATGTGTCAACAATTACCCCCCAATATGGCAGAATTAATAATAATTATTAAATTTTGTCATATTCACTTTGTGTTTCCAGCAACATTCGAAATTCCCAAGAATTTCAATCATTGTTTCATTCTATAACTTGAAAAGGTGCGTCGTTTTGCAAACCCTTATAAATCCAAAACACGCCATTTCACTGCTACCAAACCACGCCTCATATTTTTTGCGTCTCTTTCACAATTCACTGTTCATCTTTTGCTTCCCTGCTACGTAACCCTGAAAAGCTTCGTTCCTTTTCAAATGGCTGCTTTACAATCTCAAACTAGCGATTCCTTTAGTTTTGATGACTTTCAGAGACTTCTTAGTCGTCCATACATAACCCCAAGTTTTCTCGCGCCTGCCGATGTTGGACGTAATGAGTTTTACTTGGGTCCTTTCTTCAACAATGCGGAGGCAGTTGAACAGGCGGCGGTGGGTCAGCTGTTTCCTTGCACTCATGACCCTCATTTTCTAAACTCTCTACCGCTGGGGCCACTTCGCGAAAGAGGTATTCGCACTTGGCCTAAATCTGACGTAACTTTTCGTAGGTGGCATGCTCGCCTTGTGGGTCATGGCCCTACTAAGGCACTTTTTGATAGCGCTAGGATCTCTAATTTGTTGGAAATCTCTATCCGCCTCCCTACTTTTGATTCAGCACTCTTTTCAATCGTCTTGAGTTTTTGGTCTTCTGAGTATAACACCTTTATTTTCCCTCTTGGCCCCATGTCTATTACCTTAAGGGATGCTGGGGCCCTAGTGAATCTGCCACCTTTGGGCGATACCATTTTTCCTGGTATCTTAGTCTCTGGTGGCGCCCCAAAGTTTGGTAGAAACTACACCGATTCTTATTCAAGCCTGCAGACCCTCCACAATCATTCGAGCGCTGAGCCTACCCATACTGAGCGAGTGGTCTTCCTTTTAGTTTGGCTTTGTAAATATGTTTTGTGCGTGCCAAGTATAAAGCCCTCTCTGAGTTATTTACCCATAACGCACGAATTGGCGCGTGGCAGGCCTTTGAATTTATGTTATTTGTTTTTGGCTGCCCTTTATGGAGACATGGCCTCTCTTCAAGCTCAATTGAAGAATGGTGCATCTCCCATTGGCAGTGGACCTCTTTGGTTCACTCAATTGTGGTTGAGATCCTATTTTTCATCGCTTGGTGCTCCATCCATTTCTCGCCCTTCTGCTAGTTGTTATGGGCTAGCCATGGAGCCCTTAACTCCTGTAAATATGTCCAGAAGGGACATTTTTTCATTCTTTTATTCTTTGGATTCAATCCCTTCCTTTTTTCCTTTTCCTCCTTTTTTGACTCCAAACTATGTACATCCCCCTTCCACTATAGATAACGCGAGCACCTCCCTGCTCATTTGGATCCAGTTTTTAACCGGGAGGGAGCTATTTCATGATATTCTAACTGGGACCAATGCCAAAGCGGGGGTAGAGATTTATGCTCCCCAATTTTTTGCTCGTCAGCTTGATTTTGGCCAAACTTGGCCTGTTCCTCTTTGCTATTCAAGGAATTTAGTTGACCGTTTTCATACCATTACTAAGGCGGAGGCAGAGGCCATAGATGCTCGTAATCTTCTTTTAACCAGTCATTTTTCATTGGCCCCCTTCAATTCTAGCCACGCCGTTCACCCTCTTTTTGAACAACTCTGGCCGTCGGTGAAGCGCAGATTATTTTCAACTGATGCCAATCGTGCCTTTCATTTATTAGACCAACCGAGTATTTCTTCTCCTCCTCCTGTTTTGGTCACTCCTTTGTCTGTTCGGAGCCCTTCTCCTTCTCGTCGCACTAAACAATCAGCTCGTCCATCTTCTTCCCTCCCTGCCAAGCCTACTACGGCCAAGAGTGCTCTAAGCCGCAAACGGCCAGCCTCAGCATCTCCTATTCTGGAGGATGATGTCGATGATGATGATGATGCCCCTCTTATTGTCAGGAGGAAGGTAATCAAATTGGTTTACTTACAAGTACACTTTTTCACACTTGAAACTTTTCTGTGTACTGATGATCTTTTGGATTTCTCAGAAAGTTCAGCCTCTCCTTCAAAGGCTTTGACATCGACAGCTCCTGCTCCATCATCCTTTGCTGAGGCCACTTCATCCAAACTGGTTGATGAGGGGGCTGCGCTTAAAGAGACATCTTCAGTCCCGGGATCCTCATCACAACCCATGGATGAGTCACCTTCTTGCCAGGATGTCAACCCCCCAATCATCGAAGTAGAAGGTAATTCAGTCTTTTGATGTCTTACCTTTGCTCGTGCTGTTGATTTCTGATTTATTGCTCTTGAGCTTTGTAGAGACTCCTATGAGTCCGCCCGTTGTGGCAACATCTTCTCGCTCGGACAAGGGGAAGTCCTCACGAATGGATGAGTCGTTGGTGGCAAGCTTGGCTGAGGGCACGCCATCTTCTACGATTGTCGACGAGGTAGTCTTTGCTTCACTTCTATTTCCACCTTATTCGTTGTAGTGAGGATTTTTAATATTGGCAATCTTCTTTGCAGGATGCTGACAGGATTGTGCGTTCTATCCAAGACTTGTTCGCTTCCTGGGGACGAGTCCAGACGTCTCGTCCTGCTCCATCTGATCGTCCTGTTGCTTTTTCAGAGGAAGACTTGAAGTTCCTGAAGGAATCGATATTTGAGTACGTATCCTTCATGGATATGGATATTGGAGGGGCTAGTGCTGCCAGGCATAAGGATGAACTTGAGCACTTGAGTGCGAAGTTGGAGCAAGCACTAACGCTTCCGTCGCTCAATCTTTCTGCTGATTTTAAAGCGACGTTGAAGGTTATCCACTCCGAGGTCCTTTCTATGCTGGTCAAGAATGCTTAACTAAAGGCCAAGCGTACTCAATATCTTCGAGCCGTAGCTGAGAAAGAGTCTTTGCGTATGGAGATTAACAAGGCTGAGGACGAGTTGAAAGAAATCTCTTCCGAAGTCATGATTGAAGACTCTTTGATGGTTAACTTGGCTGCTCAGATGAGGGAACTTCAAGCTAAAATGGACGACTGCAGGGCGAGAATGGCTGCTAAAAAGCGCAACGCCTCCCAGGGAATTGAGCGAACTAAGTCCTTGGTCGAGCAGTACAAGAAATTGGAAGTTGATGATGATGACGTCGCGGCTGAATTGAACATCACTTCCTCTCGACAGAACGAGGATTGGGAAAAACTTAGGGAACGAATTCGTTCCATATGGGGTAGACTATAATTAAGACATGCGATGTCTTTTTTCTTTTGTAATTCGATTTTTCCTTTTGTAACTTTGTTCATCATTAATGAACATTAACTTCTTGTGCATTTATTTGACGTTTATTTTTTAGTCATCAATTCTTTAAGCACTTAATTGCTTTGCACTAAGAATCTTGTCCATTTCCTTTTATATTTTCACCACTTTTCCCAAGACTTTGGGCTATTTAATTCCGTTTATTAGACAGAAATGTGGCTGTTCATATTCCGTCTCTTCATCTTCACCCCCCTATAAATGCTTCGCATTTTTCATTTTCTATCTTCATCTCTTCATTTTCTTCTTCGAAACCAATTTGCTGTCATTTCTTGGCATTCCGACGATCAACCTGATCCAAAAAATGGACTGTTTAGTCCGCCCACTTTACTATTTACCTTGACGTCCCCTTGTTATGGGAGGTATAGGAAATATTTTCTGGCCAGCAGCGAAGTTCTTTCCTGCAAAATTCTTCCCATCGTCTCTTTGTTCTTCACAAGGAGTCAATGATGGAAGGCAATTTTTGGGCTGCTTGTGGGCCACTTTACTTGCTGAGAGTGCTTCTCAGCCTCTTTGCTCGCCATTGCAGCGATGCATTTAGGAAGGTGGTGAGGCCAGTACACCCTCTTACTCGGCAATCCCACCATTGCAGCAATGCATTTAGGAAGGCGGTGTGAAGCTTACTCAGCGATCAACCGGGAGATCATCTTACTTTAGTTGTATTTTGTAGCACATCCATATTTTGTATCTTTTGTATTCTTGTAATGAACGTTTGATAATAAAGAACTTTATTTGAACGTATTTCGCTCTGACCTTATTATCTTTTGATCGTTCAAAATGTTTGGTTATGTTTTTATCTGTTCACATTCCCATAAAGAAGGAACATATTTTTTCAAATATTTTCCGTTAATGAATCTTACGTGCTTGGTGCCGTCTAAATCTTCCAAGTGGTACGCTCCATTGGGCAACACACTGTTTATTTTGTATGGTCCTTCCCAATTGGGCGACCACTTCCCATACTTTAGATCTTTGCTATCCAAAGGGAGTATCGTCTTCCAAACTAGTTCACCCAGGCTGAACAACTTGGCTATAACTTTTTTATTATAAAACTTAGCCATTCTTTGCTTTTGAACTTGCAACCTATCTAAGACGTCCAACTTCAGTTCGTCTAAACTCAATAAATTTTGAACTAGTGATTCGGCATATTCATCATCATTCAACTCATGTTACAAACACACTCGAATCGATTGCACGTTGATTTTCATAGGCAAAACGGCCTCCTGTCCATAAACAAGTTGGAAAGGAGTAACTTTGGTACTTGACCAAGGTGATGTTCTATAAGCCTATAAGGCCTTGTTCAAACATTTGTGCCAATTTCTGGCGTTTTCATCTATCATCTTTCTGATGATATTTTTTAGAATCTTATTA